GTCAGCCTACCTAGAATACAAATTCGTCTCACCGTTCTTAGAAGTGCGTGAGGGCAGCCGTCGCGTAAGTTCGTTTTATTGCTGGTACAAATGGTGAAAACCGGATAATCAATTTAATAAATTTTGGGGGGAGTTTTAAAATTAAGTTCGAATGCCAAAACATGCTCATCACCCCTCTACCGCCCAAAACATGCCCACCGACCCCCTACTGCCCAAAACAAAGTTCACCATCTTCCCACCGCCCCCGTTGAGAACCAATGATCTAGGAGAAGGGATGACAACCCACCCCCACCCCCACCCCGGTTCCTTACCAGTGAGATCAGGTTGGTGAGGGTAACCTTAAGGGAAACATTTACAATGTCCCCTTTGTCTGCAGCAGGGCGAAAATTGCGGTTATAATTGGCCATCAGATCGTTGAAAAGCTGTTCCTCCTGATTCCGGCTCAGGACCACTGCAGAAGAAAGGAAGAAAGAGGGATGTTAACAGGCAGGACTCCATGAAGGGGATGTAAACAGGCAGGTCTCTACGAAGAGGATGTAACAGGCACAGCTCTACAAAGAGGAGTCCTTCTTATGAGAGGCCAGAAAATCATTCCAAGTATTCCTGCAGACTTTATATGGATGACTCACACAAAATGGAGCCTTGCCCCTTGGATACTGGAGATCACTTCCGTCTTCCAGTGGTCTCATGCTCAAAGGTGTCTATGAGAGACCCCTTTGGCGAGAGGCTCATCTTGCGATGGGAAGAAAATCACTGGCCAAGAGATTTGCATGATATGCTTAAACAGATCACTAACAGGTCAAGCAGCTGCATTCCCACATCCCGCTAAACCCCATCGTGGGATGATGTTTGCAGCTTACCATGTTGCATAAACACAGCCCCTTTGGTTAGTTTATCGTTCACAGAGTCTCGTGCAAGCACAGGAAATGCATGAACCCAGAGCCGAATCCAGCATGCAGCCATTTAAAACCCTTGCCATCCTTTAAGAACAGTTATTTAAAAATGCAACATTTGTCTCACCTCAGATCTGGTTTCTCTTGATGGCCGCCCAAAAGCACCTAGGAAGCTCTCAACTAAGGCATAAAGACAAAGTCCTTCCTCTGTTGTTCGTTTCAAGCACTGCTCATTTGGAGATACACTATCCCCATACATGGAGGCTCCAGAGTAAATAGCTTTTGGCAGATCTACTTCATGAAGAAGAATTGCATGATGACAGATTATCTGTGTATATTATCTGCATCTTTAACCTGGTTCCTGAATTAGCCCAGTTTTGCATCATGCGCTGAACCAGAAGCCAACCACAGATACCATAGTTTAAGTCCCTCTGAAAGCTAACCAAGATAAGGCAAACCACACAGGAATTAACTTTTTTTTTAATGTGCCGTATATGTTGCCCACTTCCCTAGGTGGCTCCTTAGGATTTATAAATATTCCTACGCAATGAAAGTAATTAAAATCAGGCTGCAGCGTTGCCGTACCGTCTCCCCCCAAAACCCTCTAAAAGGGGAAAAGAAATGTTCTCGGCTTCCTGCCAGTCTGCAGCAAAGAGGGGAGCTGCCTCAGACCTTGTGGCCAGTCGTTCCCCTGCCTAACTCCTCAGCTGGAAGAAGCAGAATTCGCTGCTGAAGTTGAACTTGGTGAGAACTGCAAATCTTTCCAACGTGAGGGCAGAGCCAGCTGTACAAGCAGGGCCCATCCTGTGAGTAATCTGGGCCAAGCAACATAAGGCTTCAAATACCAAAGGGGTGTCTGTGTGTGTGTGTGTGTGCGTGCGCGCGCGCACACAGTGCATTCAGCTGTATTAGGCCCCAGAGCAGTGTTGTCCAAACTTGGCCACTTTAAGATGAGTGGACTTCAACTCCCAGAAT